TCATGAAGGAAAAAATAAAGGATGGATGATATTGAGTAATAAAACAAAACTCACTTAAAGTGTCAAGTTTATTTCATTATAACTATTTGGTTAACACAAGTTAATAATACTCTGGTAAACTTTTAGTATTGAGACATTTAAAATGTGAGCTGATTATATCAGCATCAGGCATGGCTGCCATCTTGTGGGGACAGGATAAAATGTAGTGAGGGGCCAATTTTAAAAATATGTCCCTGATAGGTTACAGGTCATTACTTTACTTCTTTCCGTTAATTAATCTTTATTCATACTCCTTATAAAACTACTCAGCCTTCAGGCCTTAGACATGAGATAACTGGAAGACATATACCAACATATACATTTACATAAATAAGTTCCCATATCTAAAACTTCAATATCATGTGCCCCTTGGATTGTGAAAAAGATGTGAAATTAAAGTTTCCATTTCAGTCAACTTTATTTATATATGAATTTGGTAAAACACTTGTGAACAATCAGGTGATTATAGAACTAGCTTGGAATTTATATCTCATTTAGCTAAAAAAAAAAGTTTTCTGATGGGAAAGTCTTACATATTTATAGAAATCTCCAAAAAGGTGAAAAGCATTTGGAAGTTAGAAGGACAGAAGGAAGAAGAGAAATATCATCCAATAATTTTTGAATTGGTGTACAAAAATTGACAAAATACTTTACTAACTAGAAAACAATCAATTTGAAAAAAAACTGACAAAACTCACCTAACATTAATGTATTACATAGCAAGTTTTGAATTAAATTAAAAATGAAAAGTCTATGTCTTCTGAAGCTGGAGAGATGGCAAACACTCACTAGGTTAATTGGTTTCCAGCATCCACATGGTTCACATCTACCCAAAACTCTGGTACTAAGGATTATGCTTTTTTATTACTCAGTCAGCATGCACATGCTGCACATATATACATGCAGGCAAAACATTCATACACACAAAATAAATAAATACTACAAAGCCAAACTGTGTTTTCTAAGTTTACATTTTTCTAACAAATATCAGTATAAATTCTGGGACTGAATTTTCTTATCCTCATTTAGAGAGGAAAACAAGAAACTGAATAAATCAGGCTCTGAAATTTCATTAACACTGAATTTCCATTATCTCTTAAGTAAAATAAAAAAAAAATTATCAAGGGCTCCTCACCCAAAGAAAATTCATGCTTTTTCATTGCAGAAATGTACATTTACATATAAGTTCATTCATTTTATTGCAACTACGTCTATCTATATGTGGTTGACCATTTTTCTCTTTAATTTCTCCATATGCTGATGGTCTAGTTACAATTTATTTAAATTCTTTTATGTGATGACCAACATTAGTAATGCTAATGATATCATTATACATAACAAAAATAATCATCCAAATACATTGTGATAATGCTACATGGAAAGTTAACCATGCCTTAATTTTAAAGTTAACACTTATACATGTATTGATTTTTATGTTTAAACAAAACCTTTTGTATAATGGTATATTGTTAACACTTTTAAAGCTGATGAATATGAGTTAATTCGGTGCTGTTTTTAACAGTAAGGAGCTCACTTTACAAAGGTAGACACCGGCATTCTTAGATGTTTTTTGAGTGGAAATTAAAGAGAGACCTACAGCATGCGTTCCCATGGTATTGCTCTCCTTCTACACAATGAGCTTTTGAAGGAGCCTGCATGAGCCCTAATCCAGCAACACAAAATAATAGTTCTCTGAAATTCTTCTTTTCATAAAAATTGCCTATTGCATTTTATATCTTGAGGTTGCTCACACTTCCTACAACTTCTCCAAGTCACTAATGTTCATATTGCAATGATTCCTCCGTGAAGACACAGTCTCAGGCTGGAAAATCAGGAATTTAGCAGTTATCATTCACTTTCATTTGTCCTGCATAAGTGCCTGATATAGAACTTTAGTGAATGAAGGCTGTCTTCACAGGGATTGAGTTTGAGTCCAGTAGGCCAGACGTAGTCTTCATTCCCACACACCATGCTTGAATTCAAGTGAAACAGCATTAATGAAAAAAGAAACCATCTTTGCAATGTTCATTTAAGGAAGCATAGTCAAGTTTGGCTTCTTGGTATAGGTCTGTAATCCTAGCTAATTAGGTGGCTCACCTATAGGAATTGCTAACCACCTGTTTCAACAATAAAAGAGCAGAAAAAACAATAAGCTAAAGATTCAGCTATGTGATAAAGACATTTTTTAGCATGCATTTCACATATACAATGCTCAATTCTACAAACAGCCATAAAATAATTAATTAACAAACACAATCAATAAATATGCTATTTTCACACCTGGTAGTTCACATCTGTTTTGCACATTGTAAATCTTGGTTTCTAGGTAACTATCTTAATCTATCCTACTTTGAAAGAAAATATAGTCATACCATGTGTGAGTACATAAATTTAAATTCATAGAAAGCCAGTTAATTAGGACTCACTAGCCAGAAGAATTACTTGAACAGCGAAAAGTTTGCTGCTCATAAATTGAAAAAAAAAAAATAAGCCAAATGCTATCTATACTTTAGTTTTGCACTGACTTTCTTGCTTTCCATTTAGAATGCTTCATACCATGTTTGAATGACCACTTTTACCTGACAGAGGTTGATCATCATGTCTTTATGAGTTTTGTGATGGGTTCCCCAATTCTGTTGGATGTCCAACTATTCGGATAGTGGTTATGAACTGTGGCTGCCTGTAAAAAAAAAAAACAAAAAACAAAAAACAGGTAGCTTATAGAGCAAGCCCCAAGCCTTGGAGTTCTGACTTTGTCACACTTACACAAGTCCTTCACAAATAAATGCAGGTGTGCTCCTTTTGTTTTGTAACCTTGACTCAAACTAGAGTCACCTGGGAAGAGGGAACCTCAGTTGAGAAAATGTCTCCACCCATTGGCCTGTAGACATGCCTGCAGGGCATTTTATTGATTAGTGGCTGGTATGGACAGGCTCAACTCACTGTGGGTGGGTCCCCCCAGGCAGGCAGGTGGTCCTGGGTTGTATGAGAGAGCAGGCTCAGCAAGCCATGAGGAACAAATAAGTAATCAACAGTAATCCTTGGCCTCCAGGTTGTTGACTGAGTTCCTGCGTTGACTTCCCTCAGTGATGGACAGTCACCTGGAAGTATAAGCCAAATCAATCCTTTCTTTGTATAAGTTGGCTTAGTCCGTGCTTTACCATTGAAACAGAAGGCACACTAAGGCACCAGATTATTCCAAAGTGAATTTATGATAGAAAATTACTAAATGGAAGATTTTGGAGTAATGACAAAGTCTGATTTATGGAACATTAAAATAAGTTTCTAATAGATTATATGAACATGACTATATTTAGCTATTGGTTTATCTCCAAGAATAACACTTATTATGATCAGAATGATAAAAATTATTGCTTTAAAGTTCCACCTACCTGTCTAATCCTTAAGATATGATATTGTGCAGTCCGTCTTAAATGAGGACTTCACTATTTTTCTTGTTAAAATACACAGTGACTCACTTGCTTTTAAAATGACCCTGTGTGCCTGGGGGAGATACATCCATTTTTTAAAAAGAAGCTCATTATCTGTATCAGCATTCATGAACGTACACCAGAATGCTTTGAACAGTAGAATGACATCAATAATAACATGAACAATATCCATAAGTTAATGGACACTTATGGGGGGAGGGAATGAAGAGATGACGAAAACTGATTGGAAATACTTCCTGGAAGTACTGGTTCTATATTCAGGAAATTCTGAAATTTAACAATTAGAGCTCTCTGCGAAAGGAAAAAAAAAAAAAAAACACCAGAGTGTGTGTAAGTCCTGCTCATCATGGAAGGCACTGGTTACTAATTTCAAAGTAGTTTCTTTTGTGATACAAAGGTAGACTGCAGCGAGAAAATAGAAGATGGGGGAAATTATTTCACACTAAAAGGTGGGGCACTGTTTCCTAGGAGACAGGATCCTGCTCTGGAGGAGGTGAGGAGCTTGAATAGACCATATGTGATCCAGGAGGATCTGAGTAGCAGAACCAAAGGAGCAAAACATTTTTTTTTTTCCTGGAATGTCCAGGGATGAAATTCATAAGATGAAGGAGGATAAGACTTTGCAGTGGTGAGAATGGCCAAGCCAAAGCATCATCAAAGAGAAAGGTGCTCAATGAGGGAACAGGAACAAAAGAGCTCCGCCACTCTTAGGAAGAGGAATGGTGAGTTCTGACACACACTCTCTTGGTAACAAGATTTCCAGTGGACTACAGTGTAATGGAAACAGTGTCTAGGCTGTTAAAACCTGATCTCACTTAGACACTTGATGGAGTTAACAGAGCCCCCTTACACAGTAAGAGGGAAGGATATAAAATAGTCCTTAGAAGAAAAGAAATCTCCAGGAGCAGGGATAAGCTTGCCCAAAACCCCTTCTCTGGAGACTGGGAGCTTGCCTTAGAGTGCTTCCGCAGCATTTCCAAGGACAGCAAGGAGCCCCCAGGACGACCTAACTGCACAGGCGATTAACTCAATGCAGTATTTTGGTCACTGAGGCTTTTATTTTGTTTGTTTTATTTTTTTATATTATTAGATATTTTTTAAAATCTTTTCACTGTCCCTTTTCTGACATTATTTCAGAATTTTTTCTGTATCCAGGTTGCAAAAAAAAAAAACAGAGAATGAAAAGAGAGGGAAAATAATGAAAGAGGAAAAAAGAAAAAAACAACACTGTTTAAAAGGTAATCAGCACATTCTCAGCTTTTTATAACTTTATAATTGAAATCTCATTAAAAGCTTTCTAGGTCTTCTTTTCCCTAAGTGACTAGGTGTCCCTAATTTGTTCTCAGCCAATGTGACTAATTCCAGACAAAGACTAGAAAAAAAGTCCTATACCTGTTGGGGGACAGCAAGGTTAAATAAATGGGGTGGCTTTTTTAGGTTGCTTTTAACCTCGGGGGGGGGGAGAAAAAGAAAAAAAGAAAAAAAAAACAAGGCAGGTGGGGGGGACTTCACTGCCTTCTCTTTGAGTCCTGCCTTTCTCAGTCCGGGTGAAGATTCCCAGGGAATTGAGAGCGCGGTTTTGTTTCTCCCTTGTATTGCAGATAGGGGGAGGAGGTGGTTATTAGAAGCTCTTCCTCTCTCGGTTCCCCTCTCCGCCTGACAGCACCGCTCTCTTGCGGACTCGCTTCTCCTAGGTGATCCATTTCTAAGCAACGTGGGGCTGCAGCGGAGCTTGCCAGGCTGCTGCTGGCTTCCCGCATCCCGCCAGGCGAGCGGCTCCGGAGCATCCTGCAGCCGCGGCTCCGCGCGCCGGCCTGGCCCGTTGCTCGCTCCCGGCGGACACCCCCGCCACCGCGCCCGCGGAGCCGCTCGGGCCCGCCGCGCCAGCCCCGGGGCCCGCCTGGCGCAGAACCGGAGTCTTCTCTGCATTACTATCGGCATTACCTTCAAGTTCACTTTTTCCACCCCTCCCGGAGCCGGCCTCCCCCTCCCCGCTGGAATCTGGCGGCTCCGTTCGCATCCTCCTCGTCGCCCGTGGCACTGAGAGCTGGCCGCGAGGCGCCACGACCGCGCGCGGCCCGGGGTGGAGGGGCTCGGCGGCGGGGGAGGGCGCGGGCACATCCGGCGCGGGGGTGCCCAAGTTGCGGCGGAGCTGGGACCCGCCACCGCGGCCCCCGCGCGGCCAGGGCCACCTTCTGAGCGCCAGCCTCGCCCCCTGTCCGAGAGCAGCCAAGGCTGGATACATTTTTAAAAAGCCCAACTGCAAACAACTCTGGCGATGCCAAAATTTCCCTCCGAGTGACAGGGCTTGGGAGGAGGCTGCCTCCGGCTGTGCTAGCTCTCGGGTCGCCTGTGCCTCCTTGGCGACTAAGAAAGACTGTGTGCACTGGCGAGATTGGAAATTAGTGGGAAAGCTGCACTCAACTCTGTCGTGACCTCAAACTCTGTGGACCGGTTTAAAGAATATCTACATATTGGAAGCAAAGTCGTGGTCAAGGAAGATCTGCATCAGAGGATGGAAGTTTTCCCCTTGCTCTTATTTCTGTCCCTCTGGTGGTCTCGAACCTGGGACCTGGCGACCGCTGATTCCATCATCCATATCGGTAAGATAGAGCTTGTGCGGCTTGTGGCGATTTTCCCCTAGCGTTTCCTTGGCAGTAATCTATTCTCCCCCACCCCCTTGAGCCTCTGACGGCTGCTGGAGTGGCTTCGGTTCGCGCCCCTTGGTGCCCGCGCTTGCACAGGCTCAGCTTTCTCTCAGCTGTGGCTGAGCCTTGCTGCGCGGGAGTGAGAGCAGGTGGGGAGTGCGGGCCGGGCGCAGGGGCTCACGTTGGCCTTCGCACATAAGTGCAGGGAGTGCGGGGACTCGGGTTGTGGGGAGAAGGAAGTTTGATTGACTCTAGCTTCCCGATTTTTCCCGGATGTACATTTGAGCCACGAAAAAAAAAAAATCATGGGGGTGGGGGTGTGTGCTGGCAGTGTCATCCGCGGGGAGAGAGGCGGGCTGGGGCTGGGGGCGCTCCCCGCGGCTCGAACAGGTGGTTTTGCATCCTGAGCGGCCGAGTCCGCTGCGGCGAGCGGTGCGGACTCCCAGGCTCGCGATCCTCTGCGGTCCCCGCGACACAGTGGCGGGAGAGGATGGCGGGACACACGCTCTCGGCCCGGGGCATGGGAGACGCCGAAGCCGTTGCAGGCCGCTCTCGTGGCCAGGCTAGACACGGCAGTAGCTGACAGCTGCCTCCCGAGCTGCGCCAGGGCGAGCTGTGCGCCCTGGCTCTCTGAGGCACCGCGGGTCGCCAGGATCCTGGCCCCACCTATTGGCGAGCAGACCGGCCGGTGGCGCGGTGGGAGCGACGGGGCTCGAGTCATTATCATGCAGGGTGCCCACAGCTGAGGGCTCCAACTCTTCTCACTTGCTAATCCCTGAGAGCTGAGTGGAGACTGGCTTTTGCAGCCTTTTCTGCGTTAATGTGATGATTTCCTTTTCGGAAATTCTCCTCCAGGGCAAGTAAGGTTCGTTTGCGGGGCTGCAGTGAGACTCCCCTGGGGATTTTTTTTTTTTCTCTTCTTCTTTTTCTTTTTGGTACAGGAGTTTTATCTGTACAAACGGTTTCCTGTTCTACAAATCTAGGCGACAGATGGGTCACAGCTTCTCCCTTGCCCTTCCACCGTGACACACACACACACACACACACACACACACACACACACACACACCTGACAGGTGAAGCAGCTGCAGGTGGCAGTTCTTCCCAAGCCAGGGGCTCCTGTCTGTTGTTTGTACCTTTGGTGGACAGATCCTTAGCTCCAGGGGCCTCCCTCTTTTGGTATTATAGGCTATCTTCGCAAACATGTCTGCCATTCTCCACCATTCATATCAATGGGACTGTATGTCTCTGTGCAAGGGTTAATGAGGTCAGAATTCAGAAAGCCTTGCCCTTGTGCATTAAGAAAATGAAGCATTAGATAGCTGGCCTGCTAGATACTATTTTGCCTGGGGGCTAGCAGTGCTTGTAGGTTCAGAACTTTCCGGTGAGAAATTACGGTCTCATTGCGGGGTTCAGGAAAGCTCTGATAAGAGTTTGGAAATGAACCAGGCTCTTTGTAAAGAAATGTCATGAATTTATGTGTAGTTGTAAGAGATGGGGGCAAAACTGTGGGGTGGGATCACTATTCCTTTCTTTATATTCATTTGATGGTTAGATGTTTCTGACTTATGCTTGCACCCCTCCCCCGCCTCGGGGGTAGTAGAGAAGAGTTTATTTTGTTGCTTATTCTGTGCTCTACATGTTAAATACATGATTTACACATATGTATATATCTTGGTATTCTTTAAGAGAGGAATACTACTTTACAATGCAATCTGGGCATTTGGTTCAGAGTAGGAGATAACTGTATGTTCTCTGTCGGAGTGAAATGGCTTACTTATTTATAACCTGATCCTTTAAAAGTAACTGTGCAGCTATTACACATTTTTTAGAAGTCTAGCTGTGTGCATCTACTCTGTATAACCAACTGAAAGCTGTACTTCTTTCTCAATTAACTTTGCTTGAATGAAATTAGTGCATTATACAAGGAGTTGGCTTCTTTTATAGACTACCTATTACTGCAGTGAAGCTAACAGAGATTTAAAAGCTTTATATGTCTTCTAATGTACTGAAAATTGGCTAAGTTGTATGTACTTCAGAGGTTAAATGCCCCCTTTCCTGAACATTTACCCAAAATATGAGAAATTCAAAGCTGGTACATCTGTATTTAACTTGTAAGGCAGCAGTTAGCCTGCAGTGGGTCAGATAGCTTACTGGGTCGATGAGTAAAATGAATACTCTTTAGGTGATTGCTTTCATGAAATCACATGAGAAATATGAATGTTAAAAGTGTATTAGCTCAGGACTCAAAGGCTGAAAATGATGACACCTTTGAGAGAGGGGTATTTCACCTCTAGTGATGTAAGGAGATATGCAGAAATGAAGGTGTCCTCAGTCTGGTGAAAAAGTGGTTGCAGGCACACTGGAAAGACAAAAAGTCATTGCTCTATTAAGTTCTTTAAATACTGAAGGCTTCTGATATTGAACTATAGTATGTGTATGAAAATTCTCACCTCTCTCCTTTTATGTCGTACAACGTAGCTTAATAAAAACAATTGCATATAACTCTTTAATATTTTGTTGAATAAATTTAGTTAAATTTATTGAATTAGTTTACTATGATCCTGAAATGCATTTTAATGATTGAATCACAATGATTCAGAATGTTTATTTATTCTACTCAAAATGCATAATATTGTGGTTGCTTGGATTTTCTGTTAATCGCATTTCAGAGGTATTTATTAATTGCCTGTATTTAATTGTTAGATACAGATACACACAGTAGTTTATGTTGAATCACCTCCTTTGCCCTGGTGAAAGGAAGGTCTTTGACATATAAAAACTATGCAAGTTTGAATTATGCTTCTACTTTGGGCCTGTGCATTGATTGAGTAATTTCATCAGGCCCACATTACTTGATTGCTTAGAAGTTTCCTAACGATCTGCATGCTGTAGGAAGAACGAAAACGTCGTGAGTGGAATGGCAATGATACGGTGTTTTATGAGGCTATTCAGAAGTCGCGCTGATTTATGTAGCTAGAAAGCTCCCAAGTCTTTGAGATTAGCCACACTGACTGCTATTTTCCTCATACATCAGTCGTCCCCCACTCTGTACTCCCTCAACACAACAGGAGTATAGCGTGTGTTGCTTTAATTAAGCAGGGATTAGGTGGCATTTCCAGTCAACTGCACAGTTTGTGTTTTGCTTCCTATCTAATATGGAGGATCGCACGTTTTAACAGTTTAATATATGCTCGTTTCTTTATCTGGTTCCTGTGCTCATAGAACAGATTGTAAATTAGCTATCACCAGTCACATATCTCTATAAGGGAACACGAAAGGACTGTACTCATCCTCATATTACACACATCACTAGCGATATTTGGCTGTTATCAGTCTTATTAAAATGCTTTCTGTCAAAGGGGTAGAAAGGAACCGTGTATTCATTTCTCTCATAACCAGATGACACTTCATTCTCAAGATCATAATAATCAACTCTGTCATTGTGAGAGGCTTGGAGAGTTCAGAGCATGCTTTCATCATCAGAATGTTTCAGGTATACAGCTGGCTTAGGGAATGAATGTCAGCACATTGTGAACAACACCTGACATGCAATTGAAAGCATCTGTTTTTCTTATTTGGGGACTCAGGTCTGTTTTATTAAGTATGATTATAAACACATTCCCAGAAGGAATATAATAACTATTTTTTTTTTGCTAAAATGTTTCTTTTTCTTCACATGATATCTACTGGTCAGCCACTGAACTCAATCCAGCATCAGGGACTCTTTGCATATATATACCAAATTGCTTTTTTCTTTTTTACTTTTGTTATAACAACTGTTTGGTCCCTAAGTTATAGGCAAATAGAAATAAACTTACCAAAAGTATCAAGACACATTTTACTGTTGCTCTTTTCTGTATGATTAATAGAGTTATTTGAAGCACAATTCTGATGTGAATTAAATTAGACAGTGTTGTTATTAATCAAAGGCATCAGCCATGACATGACTAATAAACATTATAACAAGGACCTTTGCTGTCTACTCCAGATGAAATATATATCCACTAAATATCTCCTATAAATGTCCATTCAAATATGAATAAAAATCACAGTGATTAACATTTGACTTATCTAAAAATAGATGGTAATGGAAATTGTTAGAAGCAATGAAAGATATATTTCATTCAATTCTGACCTCTATGGCTTATTTTTCTGTACCGTAAGTTTATCTTAATGGTATATTATGATTTTAAAACTCTATATTTTATACAGGCTTATTTTCTTCTTTTACTGACTTATAGTATTGTAAGTAAAGCATTCCCTTTTTAATTGGATCATTGGTTCATTTTGATTATAGAGAGCATATTAGTAACAATACTTGTTATTGCTGATTATTTAATGTTTGTTGCAGCCTATAGGAATATCTCTACCATTAGGTGTCACTGCCTTCTGAACTGTTCCTTTGTGGTCTTAGATGAAAAAAAATCATATGAACTAATTTTGAAATTATCAGAAAAAAAGGCATTAATTGATGAGATTTGTGATACTGAAAAACACAGTGATTTTTATCTATATCTAGAAAAGTATATATTAATTTTGCTTTTCTTTCTTACATATATTACTCTACAGTGTATCAATACCTGCCACTTTCTAAAGAGAGAAGATTTATTGGTTCAACAATGTAAATTTTAGGCAAAGTTAAAATCAAGCAAGGTTATTTTCTTAAATCAATATTGTGGTGAGGAAGAGCTAGGATAGAGGGAAGTCTGCTGTGTGATGAGTGGTGTTGTTGGTACAGTCAGTCAGCAGTGAGTAAAGCCATTTCTTAGTTCTCTTTGCAGTGATTCTTCTCCTCTCTGGAAACCTTATGGTGGCAAACTGATGGATGTTAGTGTGGAAATGCATATAAACTAGATGTGAATGTTACATATGTGTATGTGAATACGGAAACATCTAAACATAATGTATATTATCCATGATCACCTATGTTTTCATGCAATTTTACCTGTTTA